TTTTAGTTAGTTTGGCTAAAGGTTTGTTTGTCTTGATGATTTTCTCAAAGAACCAGCTCTTGGTTTCAGGAAAACACTGGAAATAAATAACCTCATTACAGCAAAACTAAAAGTAGCCAAGCACACTACTACAAGCAACATCAAAATCAAAGGATCTAACAGCCACTGGTTTTTCCGAAATTTGAGCTCTCAATTTTTATTTCTCATTTTCCTGCTCTACTTGAACTATATTATAATTATTCTTGTTAATTTTACACAATTGAAATTATATCACAAAACTGATTTCTGACTAGAAATAACATTTCCCATAGGTCACAAATATAAACATATGTGTGTGTGTGTGTGTGTGTGTGTGTGTGTGTAAGTATAGTCATATAGATTCAGTGTGGCTGTAATTAGACTAACTTCAAATTAGACTAACTTTAAAATTTATGGGTTACAAAATATATAGTTCAAAGCGTATTTATTTTAAAAATCAACACCATTTAAATGCTGCCTCTAATAAATATGTGTTGCACATCTTCAGTCAAGTTATATACAATGCTCTGGGCCTCAGCAGCATCATTTCAAAATAAACATTATAATATCACCTGCTTCACAAACTAACAAGATGAACTGATGAACTAACGCACAGAAAATCACATCAGATCATTGGATAATTGTTAAGTATTGTTATTTTATGACAAAAAAAAATTGATTGCTTATCAAAATTTTGGTTTGAATTACCTTCCTTATGTCAAAACTGATAAAACATTGACAGTTTTGTTTAACTAGTTGGTATATTTAAATATATTGAATTCCTATCACAGATAACCTATGTTATTCTCTAGTCTGATCTTACATGTCATATGTGACTCTCTTAAATCTTCATTTATATTATCCAAAAATGAACATATCTCATGCATGTATGACTTTAAAGTGTACATAGTATTCTTCCGTTTTCTGCTTTGTAAAGTTTTCATGAGACGCAATACTATTAATTAACTATCTTATTTGGGTATCTAAGGTTCAGAGTATAAGGGCTGGTAAAATGGGTATACCAGTAGGATTTAATTGTTTCCTTAAAAACAACAACAACAACAACAAAAACACATGAGTTTGGATGAGCAGTGATGATAGAAACGTACAGATGTCAGAAGCACTGGGACAGTGTGATCATGTGCTAAGGTCTCCGGCAAACAAGCAAATAAATAAACAAGCAAAGCCTCAGAGCAAGCAATTAGTTCCCTTCAAAAAAAAACAAAAAACAAAAAACAAAAAACTCAGAGGACTGACTTTTTTTTTCTTTTTTCAAGGCCAAGCAATAGTTCAAATGAATATTTTGTTGTGTTAACTACTTAAATTTCTTTTATTTCTTATTTTAACCATTTATAAAAATAAAGCCACTTTTCTAGATGAAATTGAGCATTTATTTAAAGGCAAGCTAATTTTCTTTTAAAAATATTTTATTTATTATAATTTTTTCACTTTGTATCCCAGCTGTAGCCCCACCCTCATCCCCTCCCAATCCCGTCCTCCCTTCCTCCCTCATCTCCTCCTATGCCCCTTCTGCAGTCCACTAATACTGGAGGTCATCCTCCCCTTCCATCTGACCCTAGCCTATCAGATCTCATCAGGGCTGTCTTTCTTTGTCTTTCTCTGTTGCCTGGGAACCCGTTTGGAAACTGAGCTGCCATGGGCAACATCTAAAACAGCATGTTATACACGTGTCTTTGTTCCCATTAAAGAAAAACAAATGAGTTTCAAATAGTAACCTTCTTACATAAGTGGGAAATAGTAAGAGCTGTAGGGGACGGGAACTCCACAAGCAGAGCAACAGAACAAGATAATTTGAACACAGGAAACTTCCCAGAAAATCATACTCCAACCAAGGACTATTCGTGGAGATGACCTGGAACCCCTGCACAGGTGTAGCCCATGGCAGTTCAGTGTCCAAGTGGGTTACCTAGTAATGGGAAGAGGGACTGCCTCTGACATAATCTGATTGGCCTGCTCTTTGATCACTTCCCCCTGAGGGGGGAGCAGCCTTACCAGGCCACAGTAGAGGACAATGCAGCCACTTTTGATGAGAACTGATAGACTAAGATCAGAAAGAAGAGGAGAACCTCCCCTATCAGTGGACTTGGGGAGTGGCATGCATGGAGAAAGGGGAGGGAGGGTGGGATCGGCAGGGGAGGAGGGAGGGGCTTATGGGAGGATACAAAATGAATAAAGTGTAATTAATAAAAAAAATAGTAACCTTCGTTATATAGATGAAAGAACAATGCTTAGTCTCTTTTGGAAAGGGTGTTACTGCATTATTACATAGTGTGTTTCATTGATTAACATGACATAAAATTCTAATTTTATTTTAATTTTCAAATCAGTTGAAAAAAACTATATTGGATACATTTATACAGTGAAAATATCATGAAGTGCATAACCACCAGTTTAGGAATGAACATATGACAATCACACCACTTATTTATTCAATTCACATCAATTTTCCATTTTCACAAGACCGAAGAACTGTAATGCTATATAGATATAGATATGGATACATTTTTGGTAAGTTTTATAATTGAGGATTTACAGCTAGAAAACAGCTAGCAAAATCTATGGGCAACATCCCATATTTCTCTCTCTTTTTTAATTGAATTTTTAATCAGCTTTTAAAAGTTGGAGAATGTCACATAAAATTATAGATACAAAACCTCTCTTAAAAAGTAATTCATTAACAATAGAAACCTACTGCAGCAATCTTCTGAGGTAAATAATATCCACCACTATTGATAAAACTGTATTTTTTCTAGTTCACCCTACTCTTCACTATTCCATGCTGCTAACGGCCTTTCATTTATATTTCTAGCCTCACCTCCATGAGCATTATAGTTTATGACCTTATTAGTTTCTCAGTAGTTTATTCAACTGATTTAACACATATGCTTTCAAAAAACACTTCATGTATTTTTCTCAGAATTTCAGTAAATATAAAATTTTATCACAAACACCCCAAAATGGGATATCTTGTTAATCCGGAAATAAGTTGATATAGTTAAAATCATCATTAATTTAACTAAGTGAGTTTGACATAATTTGCATGCCATTTAACTGGGAAAAAATAAAAGTGATTTCTATGCCTAAGTTCTATCCCAGTAGTGAAAAGTGAACACCTTCAAGAACCAAAACATAAATGCTAATCTTAACCCATTTTTTTTTCAGTTAAAATTATTCATTTTCAAAGTTGTATTAATAGTCTGTTCTGCTTTGATGTCATACTCAAATATAAAGTTTGGCACTTTATACTTGCAGGTAAATCCACTGCTTCTGGTCATTTGGGTATTATTTAATGTGCATGATATTTAAAACTAAATTTTAGTACAGCAAAATTTACAGATATTAGAAGTATAATCAAAGTCATTTTCATTTTCTGTATTGAAAATGTAGGGCACATTACATAGTACATTCCATGTCTCCCTCAAAATCCTATGATGTTTTTCTTTTTTTGCAGATGATGTAATTGTATTTGTAGACATTGTATAAAATAACAACCCAAAATTCCTAAAATAAACAATTTTTACCAAGTTCTCACAATGTAAGGTTTACATCTAAAAGTCATCCTTTTTCTTATGTACCATAAATGAACTAATTAAATTACAAATTTGTAGTTTTAAAAGCATCATGTCTTCCATTTATCTTTTAATATAAACATCATATAATTTTCTAATAGAATAGATATAGAAAGCAGGGAGCCAATAAGGAAGGAGGGAAAAGCTCATGCAAAAAAGAAGTTTCACATGTAGCCCATGATAGCTCAGTCTCCAAGTGGGTTTCCTAGTAAGGGGAACAGGGACTGCTTCTGACATGAACTCAGTGGCTGACTCTTTGATCACCTCCACTATGAGGAAGAGCAGCCTTACCAGGCCACAGAGGAAGACAATGCAGCCATCCTGATGAGACCTGATAGGCTAGGGTCAGAGGAGGACCTCCCCTATCAGTGGACTTAGAAAGAGGCATGGGAGGAGATGAGGGAGGGGTTTAGCTTGGGAGGGCATAATGGAAGGGGCTAGAGCTGGGATACAAAATAAATAAACAGTAATTTAAAAAGAAGTTTCACTTGAACAGTGCAAATGGAAGTAAAGATGGGGCATTGCTACCAGGCAATGTCGAAACCTACTTTAGTATCATGAGTTGGAGTCATTTTTCATTATCACTCTATTCTACATTAACCTAAAACACGACATTCAGAATAGCATTCTATAGATGGTTTTAACTTAAGTAAATTTTTCATACCTGTTTTAGGAAATTTCATATAAATCTTGTAAAGTAAATGTTTTTTTTTTTTTATGTGTTATGAGATGGGAAGGAATGTCAAGTACTTGAGGACTATTAAACACCCAAACATATTCCCATGCCTGATAGAATAATTCTTGTTATTTTCTAATATATCCTGTAGCACACTTAAAAACTTGTTTTACCCTGCAAAAGGGAATGTACCTTCCTAAGAATTCCACAGCCACAATGTATTTAAATTTATTTAAATATTTAATAACTTAAATATTTAAATTACTTTCCTATTATTTTACATAACTGTTAGTTTTCTCTTGCTACCTCTCAATCTCCATCAACTTGTGGCTTTTCTTTAACTTCTACTTTCAGTCCCAGGAAAGGAATTTATTTTTTGCCTGCATGCTATCTCTATTCTCTGTGACCCTGTGTTCCAATTTCAATTAATAAATATAAATGATCACTAACTGGAAATATTGAAACAATGGCAATCTCAGTTAATACGAAACTTCATATAGATAGGTTAGTTCTAAATAGTTACTCAGATTTCATTTTTTCTTATCACTAAGTATTAAGCACAATTACAAGTTTGATTCTGAGATTTTTAAATGGTTTCCCTTTCCTGTCTTCACAAGTATAATATAGAGAACAAGATTATGGAAATTTGGCTAAATTTGTAAAGGCTCCAGGACATTCTCAGGGAGTTGATTATTAAAAAATAAATACATAAATACCTGTTAACAGCTTGTTTTCTTGTCATTTGCCTCTTCCTTCTAAAAGGAGAGTGTAGCAAAAAATAAATAAATAAAACTGGTTAATTGAGAGTTTTAGTTAGTTAGCTTCCAATTATTCAAGGCTTTACTATATTTCACAAAAAAAAAAACCTCTTAAATTGTGAAGAAACTTTATAGGTTATACACAATAAAACTCTAGAAGGGAAGAGCACAAGAAGTTAGGAAAACCTGAATTGCTACTAGATAGTGCTTTAAATATGTAAATAATGTTATTACATTTCTGACCTAATCCCGCAGACTATAATATGAAAATGTCATATGGTTTAGGGTTTCCTCTATGTGAAGGCAAAGAAATAAAGTTACAGATTTCTTTGAAGAAAACGGCCTCGGGTCGTAACAATTCCAAAAACATAAACAAACCAAGACTCAGTAGTGCTTTGTCTTTTTGCTTTCTCTAACAAGCTTTTTTTTTCCCCATCCTTCTGGGCATTCCAACACAAACTGGGGGTGGGGGTGTCTTACAACTTTTCTTATATTTATGTGGCCAACAGAAGATGAAAGTAAGTCAACATCAACATTTTACTTATTTTCTAAACATGGAGTCATTAATCATTACTCTCTACATAGTTATTTCTGGGGAAAGCTTGAACACTCATTCACACAAAGGTGACATTCATGCACTCACACAACGGTGACATTCATACACACACATGTGCACACATATATACACAATCATATACACATAGATAAAATTAAACATGCAGAAATCAATATAACTTATATATTAAGTTTCACTAACAAAATAAACATTCTTTTCAGTGACATAACAATCCTCAATGTTTTCCAACCTTTTAACAAAGAAGAAAATCTAAACTGATTACTAAATAAACTTAAAAGGTCTAGAAGAACCTTTCAGCCTTTGCACCTTTGTAAGTATCAAAGAAATTAATTTATATTACACACCAAAAACAAGCAACTAAAGCAAGTTGGGAGTGGGAGAGATGGTACTCCTTAAGGCATAGAACAAAAATTTGTTGTCCAGTTCCAAACTGCCTTGAAAACATACACAAAAGTAGCATTATATGGGTACATCAGGCTATATTTGAGGATATATGTAATTTTACAATTTGCATTTGATAACAATTGATGGAAATGGGGACTGAATTTGAAGAAGAGAGGGAATGAGTATGTGGGAGGATTTGAGGGGGGAAGGGAGGGAGAAATGTGATTAAAATACATTTCAAAAAATAAAAATTAAAAATAAACTGTGATTTTTGTACCATTTTTTTCTTTTAATGAAGAAATTAAAAATTTCTTCTTGTTATTTAATATAGTTAATTTTTTGTTGTTTCTTTTGTTTGTTTTTTCCTAGCACCTTCTTCCTTATTTCAAAGAACTTCCAAAAGTTGTATGAATAAATAACAAATGAAAACATATATCTTGGGATACTAGGGTGAAGAAACAGAAAGAAAATAATATATTTTTTAATCAATTTTTAATCTATTTTTCTATTCTGTCACTTAGCTGTCAGCAGAACTATTTGATTTTGTTTTACAGTTAATTTATCAAACAGTTTTTGAATAGATTTTCTCTTATTTTCCTTTTTTAATTAAATTTTTATTTTTTATATTAATTACAGTTTATTTACTTTGTATCCCAGCTGTAGCTCCCTCCCTCATTCCCTCCCACTTCCACCCTCCCTCCCTCCCTCATCTCCTCCCTGCCCCTCTCTAAGTCCACTGATAGCGACCCATATGGCAGCTCAGTATCCAAGTAGGTTCCCTAGCAAGGGGAACAGGGACTGTTTCTGACATAAACTCAGTGACTGGCTCTTTGACCTCCTCCTCCTTTCCCAGAGGGAGGAGCATCCTTGCTTGGCCACAGAGTTGGATATTACAGCCAGTCCTGATGAGACCTGATAAGCTAGGTCAGAAAAGATGTTCTCTTAAATAGAATCCACTAATAAGTTCTAAATAATAGTAATGTACATTTTCCTTAGCCCAATAGGCACACCATCACTAGATTTGGGGGCTTTTCTTCACATAATCAATGATCCCTCTCTCTTTTGTGTATATTACTAAGTTTTCTTTCACAGAGGCCTTATAGCTAGATTATGAAGTTACTTTCTTCTGAAAAAAAATGTAGTTATTTTTATCTACTTATACAAAACATATACAAATCTGTGATTCATTTTTTCTTTCATTAAATATACAAAATAAAGATTTAACTTCAATATTTGAAACTGCATTATTTTCTCAATATCAAAGATATATTTTATAATAATGCATAATACCAGCAAGTGTTAAATATTTAAGATTTACAAGTTAAAGCATTTATCTAGCCATGATTCACTATCTACAAATGATTCTTTCCAGAATACCCACACAGAAAAATCTGTGAATGCTCAAAACCCTTAAAATTTTCATTTGCCCTTGCGTATACATGTATACACACATATATATACATCCTCTGGTATATATTAAATTTTATTTGATAACTTGAAACAAACAAGACAGAAAATGCCACCTAAAAAGATATTCTGTTATTTTACTTAGGACAAAATAAGTGAAAGTTCTATATGTTAATATATATAAACAATATTCCAAAATATTTTAACTCATGGTTCATTGAATCAATACATGTAGAACCCATAAATATGAAAGTCTCATTATTATCCCTAGCATTTTAAATAATATTTGATTTCTATAACATCATTTTTTAGCAAAATAATGCTATGTACAATAACTTTTGATCTTTCTTCCTGTACTATTCTAGTGTTATGACAATAGATACATGCCTGCTTTGTTTTAATTCTTTTCTGTTGTGATAGCAAATAAGTCACTGCATATTTACTTAATGGTAAAACTAATAAGAATGTTAAAACATTGAATTGATTAAACATATAATGCTACTAATATTAACAGCTCATTAGAGAATAATGTGTAACGAAAATAAAATTATCTTGTTTCACTGAAGATGTCCTGGAATATTTAATACCCCTGAGTTCAGCCTTTTCTACTGAAACTTTGAATTTCTTGTTCTTCCATGTGTCTGAACTTGAACAATTAAATTAAATCCATGAATAAAGTCATAGAATCCATACAAGTGAATTATTATAGCTCAATACTATCTTGAATTACACGAAATCCTTATTTAAAAAAAAAAAAAAACTTAGGCCAAACAAAATATTTTATCTATTCATAATATACAAACGCAAAACTTTTCAAGGCCCCTAACATTTGGTGGATATAATAATAATAGTTCATCTCCAACCATCATCATTGATGCACTTCATTAGGACAATGATTATGAAAAAAAAAAAAGAGGGTTCCAAGATGGCAGTGACCAGTGTGCACCATATCTGAAGGGCAGAGGATGTGAAACTCTGAAACTGTTGAGTGGAGGGGCAGCTGAAGCCAGAACACAGACATTGAGGTTTCCAGGGAGAGAGAGAGGGAACAACCTATGAGCTGAGACCATTTGGATCCAGATCACTCCCGGACATCTCCAGTGACTGAGACCTTGTTGGGCCTCCTTCCTCCTTCCTTGGCTGAGGTGGCCCAGAGTGAACACTGCTTCTAGCACAGAACTCTCAGAACTTGCTGCTCTGTATCTAAGACAGAGAAGACTGGCCTCCCAGTCCCTCACTGGCGAGCTGCTGGCTGCTGTACTGGCTACAGAGGTCCACAGGGCCACCTAGGTCTGCAGACAGCGGTAGGGGTTCCCTAGGTTCTCCCAACAGGCATCTGTACTGGCAGTGGCCTCCCAGTTCTGCTGCTGTGGCTGGACACCCAGGGGACCGCTATACCAGCCTTCAAGTTCTACAGCTGCAGCACCACTGAGCTGATGGATCTCCTACACTCGCATTTGCTCTGGCAGGTCCAAATCTGAGAGGAGAGAACAGGGGGAACCCATGTGCTTTCTGATTAGACCTGCTAGAGAGGGAGTGAGCCTTCAAGTGAGTGCAATCAGAGCCCCAAATCCAGGGTCTCTCTACACTAGCAGCCAGACATCAGATACCTCCCACCCACAGCCCCACTGTGGGGAAGATAGGGATTCTTAGGACAGAGTTGTAAACACTGAAGCCCCTGTAGTGTGTGTCTACCAGTGAAGTCCAGTAAACAACCCCTGGAACCCAGAGAGATCTGAATACCAGAAGGACAGAATGACAGGCCTGTTGGCCACTGAGCTATTCAGAAAATCTTTGCATGCACATTGTGCCTGTGAAATGACAGGCACCTGAACCCCCCCTCCCGTGCCTGCACCCCTCTGCTCCACATTCCAGGCATATACACTGTATACCATCATGTCCTTCAAAGCACAGTTCCATGCACAAACACACGCTTGCTAGCCCACACTTGTGCACACTCACCAATGGGAAGTAAAGGCACTTACAGAGGTTCTAAATCAAATGGACTTAATAGATGTCTACAGAACTTTTCAAAAGAGCACACCTTCTTTTCAGCACCTCTTGGAACCTTCTCAAAAATTGACCATATAGTTGGGCACAAAGCAAGCCTCAACAGATAAAAGAAGATTGAAATACTCTCTTCTATTCTATAGGACAACAAGGGACTAAAGCTGGGCCTTAACAACAACAAAAATAGCAAAGATCCTACATACACATTGGAACTGAACAACTCTCTATGCAATGAGAGCTGGATTAGAATCTCTAAGCTCAAAAACACAAGTGACAATGCATGCTGGAGAGGATGTGGAGAAAGAGGAATGCCACTCTGTTGCTTCTGTGAACGTAAACTTGTAAAAACACTTTAAAATCAATTGGGTGACATCTCAGAAAATTAGGAATACTGTTTCCTCATGATCCAGCTATACCACTCCTAGCAATATATTCAAAAGATACTCAAGTATAAAACAAGGATATTTGCTCAACCATGTTCATAGCAGACTTATTCGTAATAGTCAGAAGCTGGAAACAACCCAGATGTACTTCAGTTGATGAATGGATAGAGAAATTGTGGTACATTTACACAATGGAATACTAATCAGCAATTAAAAACAAGGAAATCATGAAATTT